AGCATTGTCTCTCTTAATTCCCAATCGTTTTCTTCGGTGACCCCACCTCCTTTGCAGGCCAGGGAGGAGGGAGTCGGGTTAATGATCTCATCACCTGTTTTCAGGCACTTCCTTCACAAGTCTTGAAAGGGCGGGGGGATCTCCCCTTGCAATCCATGGGAAGAGTTGTCCCTGGGGGCCTTGGTCACATTGAGGCACGTGGACCTCCTGTTCTGTGAATGGTGGCCAAGTGTCATGAAGCCCCTGGCTTACAAGGGAGGACGAAGAGCAGAAGGAGACAGAGACTGGCTCCAAAAGGAAAGGTCCCTCACTGGGTGGGCACTTTTTGCAGGGGAACAGGCCAGAAGTAAAGCCCTGGGTTGAGTTGTTGGGGGAGAGGACAGCATTGGACATTTCGTCCCAGGACTATATAGGGGTGCACCTGTGATCCCACCACCTGCAGCAGCAGCACAGCCTCTGTGGCTGTAGAGGTGCTCAGAAAGGCGGGGTTGCACTACCTAGTTGGGCCTGCCTTCCTCTTCTTGTGAGGACTCTGTAGCTTTCAGAGGTCAGGAGCTCCTGAATAGGGGTGATGGGCCAAGGTGAGGCTGCTATGCCCCACCCTGAGCCTCCATCCTCACCTGCTCCAGTGGGCAGTTCCCCTGCCGTGGAAGTGCAGTGGAGTTCCACCCTGTTGGCCTTGGCCATCTGTGCCTCCCAGGCCACTGGGAGGTCAGGCATGGGAATCTGAACTGTGAGTCATCAACAATTCACTGGGCTACAGATTTAAAAAATAATCATGCATTTCACACCCATTGGACTAGCAGAAAATTATAAAGTCTGACACTACCAAGTGATGAAGAACAATGGTGACTTTCATACGCTGCTGGTGGGAGCCAGGAAAAGTCAGAGTTAGCCTGAAGCTTATACAATTTGGGGACAATCTTTATAAAAGGAAACAAATTAAGCAGGGTCTTGAAAGGGGCCTGAGTAAGTGAGGGGTCTTGAATTTAATTAAACTTCATCAGCTTCTCAGTTAATCCATTCCTGGAATGTGTAGATTGGAATAACCCTTTTAGACAGCAAAGAGGTAACATCTGGGAAAATGAAAATGACCCATCAAGTCAAATCCTCCATGTGTTTCTGGGAGAAAATTCCACCATGTAACTACAGAGGCAAATAGGAGAATGTTCTTGGAAATGCTACCTGCAATGGCTAAAGGTAGCAAATCAGAAATAGCCAAAATGTCTATTAAGGGAAGAATGGATAAACAACGTCAGCATGTCTAAATCTCAAAACATAATGTTGCCTGGAGAGCACGTTGCAGAAGGATATGTACAGTGTGATACTATTTTCAGAAAGTGTGAAAACATGTAAAACAATGCCATATGTAGTTCATGGGTATGTGTGCAGTAATCGCCTAAATTGTGTTTGGGAGTGATGGACACCACATTCAGCCTACAGGTGGCTCTGAGGATGGAGGGAGGAGAGAGAGAATAAGATAACAGAAGGATGTCCGGGGGGCTGAAATGCTATCTGAAAAGCCTTAATTCCTTACTACTAAAAAGCAAATAAGGCAAAATATCAAGATTTGAAAAAGTTGGGCAATGATTATGCAGATACCTGTTAAAACATTATATGTATTCTTCTGTAGTAATTGAAATATTTCTTCATTTTTTTTTCGAATTGAGGTGAAATTTACAAATCATAAAACCAGCCATTTTTAACCAGTTCAGTGGCAGTTAGTCCGTCCACGGTGTTGTGCAACCACCACCTCTATCTAATTTCAAAACATTTCATTACCCCAAAAGGAAACCCCATACCAATTAAGCAATTACTCCTCATTTCCCCCTCCCCTCAATCGCTAGCAAACCACTAGTTTGTGTTCTGTCTCTACATATTTACCTATTCTGGATATTTTATATAAATGGAATCATATAATATGTCACCCTTTGTGTCTGGCTTCTTTCACCTAACATAGAGTTTTCAAGGTTTAACAACTTGGTGGCATAGATCCATACTTCATTCCTTTCTATGGTTGAATAATATTCCATTGTATGGATATATCACATTTTGTTTATCCAGTTCATCATGACAGACCTTTGGGCTGTTTCCACCTGTTGGTTACTGTGAATAGGGCTGCTGGGAACATGCATGCACATGCACTTGAGTCCCTGCTTTGAACCCTTTGGTTACATACCCAGGGGTGGAACTGCTGGGTCATAGAGTAATTTTTTGAGGAACCACCAAGCTGTTTTCCATTTCACATTCCTACCAGCAATGTCCAAGGGTTTCAATTTCTCCACATCCTGGCCAATACTTGTTATTTTCCATTTTTTGGTGTAAAATAACCATCTTAATGGGTGTGAAGTAGTATCTGTTTGTGGTTTTGATTTCATTTTCTAATGGCTAATGGTATTGAGTGTCTTTTCATGTGCTTCTTGGCCATTTGTGTATCTTCTTTGGAGAAAGGTCTGTTCAAGTCCTTTGCCCATTTTCTAATTGGGTGGTTTCTCTTTTTGTTGTTGAGTTGTAATATTCCCTAATTTTAAAAAACCCTCCTAGGGTTGGCCAGTGTCTCCTTGGATCCTTTAATTCTGCATTTCCTCCATATATCAAAACTCATGCCTTCGTATTTACAATCCATTCCGAGGAAAACTTGAAGGATTGGGATTGACTTTCTCTTCTCCCAGGTACCTGTGAGCCAGCACCCTACATAGAGAGGAAGGAAGATTTCTAGAGAAGGCAACTCCTTAGCATTCAGGCCTCCTAGAAAGTGGGGAGAGGGGATGGGGAACAGACCTGAGGCAGAGGAGAAACAACTTCTAAGACAGCTGAGAGGGAGGTGTTCCCTGCAAGGGGGAATTATTTCTTCAGGAAGCCCCTCCTACTGCAGGTCACAAAACCACACTGGAAGAGTAAGTTTCCACTAATTGATATTTCACAGGTTTCCCACACGCCACCTCTCTCTGTGGGGCTGGTGGGTTGGGTGGGAGCCTCCTGTCCCCTCCCCCCACAGATCAGATCACCCTGCCTGGCTGGGCTGTTCCTACCCTCAGGGGCACTCCTTTCCTTGGCTGAGAGGACACTGGGTGGTCATCCCTTGTGTGAAGGCAGGCCCACCCACCTCTGCCACCTGAACCCAGCTCTCCCAAGAGCAAGTGGAAGGAGGTGCACAAGAGCCTTCTGCAGAAGCCCAAAGCCCAACTAACACACTCTGTCATGAATCTTGTTATAATGCTCCCCAAACAGCTACAAAGGCAAGATAAGCCACTCAGAGCAATGTAAGAGACATTAAGAAGAGCTTTGTTGCTTTAAAACCTCTCTGCTCCATCACATCTCACCATTAGATATCATCTCTTTGGTCACAAAACTACCTTTGTAAATACCTCTGTGTAAAGTCTCTGAAGGAACCACCCATTACTTATCCAGAGGTTGTGGACACTACGATCATTTTCAGGAATGCAACCTTGGACAAACATGGGCTAAGAGATGATAAAGAGAGGGACCATGATGAATCTTTGGGGAAAAGAACAATCCAGTGTGTGCTCTGGGGTATGTGCCAGCCCTGGGGAGGGTTCCTGCATCTGCCATGTACTTGTGTCAAATGCATTTAGCTGGTCACTGTTCCAGGTTTTTGCCTGGAGACCTGGAACATGGGAGGAACGTGGAAAGGCAAGAGAGTTGGTTGGAGACCTGGCTGCCCTTGGGCAAGCCCTCCCCACTCTGGGCCTGGGGGTCCCTAGCTACAAATGGTGGGGCTCATTGGTGTCCATGAGTTCTTCTAAATGTCACTTATTTGATTCTGGCTATGAAGAAAGTCACTGGATACAACCAGGTTTGGGCTGAACTCAACTCTTACCACAGGTTCAATGATATCCCTGCTACCAGGAACCTTGGCTCTCTTTGCTCCTTCCCCCAAGCCCTTCATGGATGACAGAGCCTGCTCTCTTTTGTGTTCACACCCTCCACCCTGCAATCAGTCAATAAAAACCTGGGGTCCAGTTTTTAAACAGTCAGGTTACAGCACTTTCTTTCCCAATCAACTCTCCAAGCCTTTGCTTCTGCGGTGGGGACACAGGAAAAGATATCCCCGTGGCTGCACACACCACACCCACAGAGTAAATAAAATAAAGCAGATTCCTCCCAGGCAAGGGCCAGTGGCCCCTGGGGAGTTGAGGCTGAGGAAGGTCTGACGGCTGGAGACACAGTAAGCACTTTACGAGGAGTCCACAGTAGGAAGCGCTTTCCCACAGCCACAGGCAGGGGCGCAAGGCGGCGGACTGCAGGTGCAGAGGTCTCCAGACAGCTCAAGGTCAGCAGAGGAACAGCCCACAGCTCTCACTGGCCTCCCCATATACCCCCGCCCCACACACAGGGCAGAATTACTGCAGTGGAGCAAACTATGGCCTCTATTTTCTTATTTCCAGACCAAATTGTCGCAAATACATTTCACTCGCCAGCAACTTTAAAAGGCCAGGAGAGAATAAACCGGATTCAGTTCACTCCCTTCTCCAAACCTCGGTTGGTAATACTAAAGTTTCTAATGATTTTAAGGTTTCTTTTGCTGATTTTTTTTTTCTTAAACGAACTTCTCTCCCTGGGAAAGCTGGGCGCTGCTACAAGGACACTGCTCTCTGACAGCCGCAGAGGGTGGGGATGAGCTTCCTTTGCTCCGCCGGTGCCAAGTGGGTCTCTTTATGCGCAGCTTCGGAACCGGCAAACAAAGAATGGACCCCACCTGGCCCGCTTCCAACATCTGACCCAGGTTGAGAATTTGGTTTTTCCACCACAGTCCTGGAGACTGTTTCCCCCCATTTTGTTGGTCTAGAAGGGGATAAACATCTGGGAGGTGGAAGGGGACTTTCTAGTGGTGGCTCCCTCACCCTGTCCCCGCTACCCCAAGGCTCCCAGGACCTGCGCAGCTTGCGGATCGGGCCGGGACAGCCCCCACTAAGGCACGCGATTCAGCCCATCCCGTCCCTTCCCTGGCCAGGGCGCAGGGCGTGCGAGCCACTCACAAACTCAAGGACGAAGAGAAAGTCCGGGAAGGTGGTGAAGACCGAGAAGCCACTGGGCAGGGTGCTGCCACCCGACGCCGCTGCAGGAGCCATGCCGGCGAGCTGGCGTCGGCCTCGGGACAGGACGCGCGCGGCTCCGGCTCCGCGCTGACCTCTGGCTTGCTCCGCGGAGCCCAGTGGCCTGGATGCCCCCGCGCGCTGGTTAAGAGCAGGGGAGCCGGGGGCAGAAGAGGGAGGAGCCCCGGCCGCAGGCCGCCCCGCCCCCAGCCCCAGGGGACCGGGCAGGAGCCCCACAGGCACCACCCTCAACCACACTGAGGGTGCGCTCCGGGCGTGCCGAGTTGCGCGCGGGAGCCTGACTCCTGCGTCCCACCCCTGAGTACCACCTCCTGCAGGGAGCAGGACAAAGCTACTTTGGTGAGGCGCTTCTCACGCTTTGCACGCTTCGCAGGTGCAAGGCTTCATCCCTTAAGAATGATAGCCACCAGTGACCCGCCCGAAACCTTCCCACCATGGCACCCTCGGGTCACCGTTGTTTTAACTCTTTTTTTTTTTTTTTTATTTCAGCAAATTATGGGTGTACATATGTTTAGGTTACGTGTGTTGCCCTTGGTTTCCCCCCCCCACCGAAGTCCGTGTTTCAAATATGTCCATCCTTCGGGTAGTGCGCATTGCACTCCTTGTGTATACAAATACCCGTCCCCTCCTTCCTCCTCCCCCCTCCTCCCGCCGCCCTTTCCGTGGTACAGATGATTAGGTTAGGTGTGTTGCCCTTGGTTCCCCCAACTCTTAAGTTGAGTCTCCCTCCTCTTTCCGCCGGGTGTGTTAATGTGCGTGCGCGACTTCTGCGCGCAGGCTTCCAGTCCCGACCGGCGCTGCAGGCTGGGGGTCTGCAGGGAGGGCGCTGAGCCGGGCTCTGCCACCTACCCTTTCTCCCTGCGTCCTACGAGCCCTGCGCCCAGGCCGCACCGCTTCGTGCGGGAGCTGCGTGTCTGGTTGAGAGTGGGCAGCCGTGCCAGCCCCACGTGGTGGCGGTGGTAGGTAGGTCTGCATTGAATCCGTGAGACAGAAAGAGGCTTTACCAGAAGAGATTCATCACTTTCTATCGAAGGAAGAACCCAGACACTTATGCGGGTGGTACGACCTCTGTCCTCAGGTCCTTTGCCCGGTTTTTTGTTCGTTTTTGTAATACAATTTCTTTATTCTTTTTGCCTTTATTTTAAAACAAATGTCGCACTCCAGTAGTTGCCTGTTTATTTTTAGTATGAATAGTATTATTGCCGAGTTTTCTCCCATAAACACCAAAGCCTAAAATCTGCCCCAGTTCAGATTGCCTTGTGCCAAGAAAGAAAACAGCTTCTCAGCCTCCAGCTCAGACTCCCCAGGGCTTCTCCGGCTTCACCCTCAGGTCCTGCTAGCAGGGCAAGGGGCTCCTCTCCCCTGTGGGGCCCTCACGCCTTCCCTCTGCACAGCTCCCCTTCCTTCCCAGTCCCTGTGGAGAGAAGTACATTCCTGGACACATTTTCAAAAGCAAAAATGCACACCCATGAGCTCCCCATTCTAACTGCTTATGGAAAAGGACCAAGCATTTGAAATGAGAAAATCCCACTGTGTCTCTGTGAGCTGCCAGCCCTGGCGCCCTGCCACCTCCATGCCGTTGTGTCAGGCCCCCCACCCAGCCCCCAGAACAGGACCTCTCTGGACACAGTGGGCTGTGGGATTGTCAGGGACCCTCCCCCAGATCCTCATTCACCTAGAGCATCTTATAGTTGGATCTGCTGGCCCCTGAAAGGACATCTTCTCCCTCCTGAGGAGACGGTAGTGGGAACAATGCTCAAAGCCAGGCAGCCACAGAAAGCCACAACTGATAGGGGCCGGGACTACCTCAAGCAAATCCAGCCAAAGCTGCTTGACGACTTTTCTATCAGTATATATTGGTTAGAAAACACAAAGGTCCTATCAACTCTTAATAATGTCTTTGCCTGGCCTTGAGGGTTTTTGTTGGTTTGGTTTGGTTTGGTTTGGGTTTTGCTACCTATTTCAAGCCTTTGTTGCTAAGTCCTTCAAACTTGGGTCTGAGACTTTGGGGAAAAGGCTCGGCTCCCTGGTGCCCCTTCGTGATGCTCAACAGTTCCAGCCCTCCTTTGGTAAGGTGTAAGGGGAAACAATCTCTAAGGAGGCTTCAGAGGACTAGGAAGGCAGCTGGCCAAGGCCAAGGGGGCTTGTCCCTGTCTCCGTGAACCCCTCATCTCACTTGGGGGCCTTTGCTTGATGTTCACCTTCTGACCAGACTCTACCCTCTGCAGGGCATCCCCCACCCCCACCGCCATCTGTCCATCTCCCTCCCCACCATAGCACATCCTCAGCACCTAACCAGGACCAGCCCGCAGTGAACGCTCAGTAAACATCAGCCAGTGCCGGCATGGCCGCAGCCTTGCCTGTGCCTGGCCCCTGAGGAGGAAGTGGAATGACCCTGTTTGAAGATCGAGAACCTTGGTGAGTATAGATGGGCCTGTCTTCGTTTCCCAGCAGAGCTTCCCCAGGGCACTCTGGGACCCTTGCTGATGATTTAGGGGGTTCATATTGATCAGTAGCCTAGGGCCATATTTTGGTTTCCAGCAGGATATGAAAAAGCAACTCAGCCAATAATAACTCATTGCAGTGTCCTGTCTTCCTAGCAGTATAGTGGGTGTGAATGAGGGGGTTGGTCTGGGGCGGATCTGGAGCTTCTGTCAAATTAATAACATGGCCTAGGGTGTCTAAGAAGTAGAAACCAGAAAGTTGTGGTTGCGATGCCAGCCTGAGGGAGGAAGAGGTTACCCCCAGCTTGTGTGTATTGAAATGGGGGGGGAGGAGATTGAGGGGGAGGGACGTGCTTGGGGAAAGATTCTTGGGACAGGAGTCACCAACAAATAGTAGCAGGTGCAATTTGTTTTTGAGGTTGGTAAGATGACTCCCATTTTACTGATGAGGTCACAGAGGCTCAGAGAGGTTAAGCAGCTACCCAAGGCCACACAGCGGCTGAGCGGTGAAGCTCAGCCTTGAACCTGAGTGATGCTGCACCTCCAAAGCTGCAATTACTTGACGAAGACTTGATCAAGATGGGCAGTTGCCAGTCAATGACATGCTCCATGCAGACCATTGCAGCCTCCCAAATCCAGTCCTCGTGGTCATCGTAGGCATGGCCCTGGGCACTTCTTCCCTGGGGCTTCTCTGCCAGGCCAACAGGACCTTTCCTCCTCCCACTGGGAACACAAGGAAGTTGGGGGTTGTCACCCCCACTTCTGGATGGGGAGGCTGGACTTGGACTGATGGCAGGGGACTCTATTCAGTTGACTGTTACATCTGCGGTGAAGACTTGGGTTCAGAGGGCTACCCTGGGCCTGCACCTCCCCCCAGAGATTTTATTTGTCTGATGGACACAGTCACCCACAGCCGTGGCTTCCACAGATGGCGTGAAGCAATGGGGGCACCTGCTGGTGGGTAGGTGAAAGGCAGTCACAGCTACCGGGGCCTCGGAGGGCGGAGGGGAGCCATTGTTACTGAGGGCCTCCTAAGTGCCCAGCACTGGTGTAGGCGCTTTGCCCATGTGACCTCACTCAATCCCACAGAGCCTTTCTGGTAGGTGTCACCCACCCTATAGGCTCACAATTGGGGATAAAGTGCCCAAGCCACATGGTGGGCCACCAGGCCTCTTGACTCCAGAAAGCAGGCTTCGTTCCCATTGCTGCTGTGCCTACTGCACAAAATCCACAAACTTGGAAGCCAGGAATGGTGTTGCTTCCCAGACCGTGGCCCTTCGATGGGCCCGCGGGGCACTGTGCGCCCACTGCGTCCAGTGACAAAGAGGGGAAGGCCCCTGCCCCCCTCCCCCGAGCCTCTTCTAGGATTGTTTTTTCTAGGGAGACAGGGCACTCTGCCACTATCTGAGAAAGTCATCACCAAGTTCTGAGATTCTGAGCACAAAACAGTTGCCGGCATTGTCTGGGTGTCTTGGGGGCGGGGATGGAGGGTGGAAGGTGTGTGAATCAGGAGATTGGGTCCCTGCTCTGTAGGAGAGTTCCATCCAAAAGGGACCTCACACTCAAGTTAATAGACACCTGGCCGGGGCCTTCTCTGGGCTGGGCCTGCACTGGACACTCTCCCCGAGACTGCAGGCCAAACGCTGAGGGGTGGTGTCTTAGTCTGCTCGGGCTGCTGTAATGAACTACCATAGACTGGCTGGCTTATAAACAACAGAAATTTATTTGTCACAGTTCTGGAGGCCGTGAAGTCCAAGATCAAGGTGCAGGCAAATTTGGTATCTGGTGAGGACCCACCTTGAGGCTCGCAGATGGCACCTTCTCCCTGTGTCCTCACATGTGGAAGGGGTCAGGGGTCTTTCTGGCCTGTTTTTATCAGGGCACTAATCCCACTCATGAGGCTCCACCCTCACGACCTAATCACCTCCCCAAGCCCCACATCCTGATACCATTGCCTTGGGGGTTAGGATTTCAGCATATGAATTTGGGAGGACACAAACATTCAGACCATAGCAGGTGGCACATGGATCAGTTGTTCTATGAGAAGGCTGGAGTGGGTGTGGGCTGCACGGTGGAGCCCCATTTCTGAGCACCTTGTAGGTGGCAGCTCTGTGCCTGCCCCGCAGATGTAACAGTCAACTGAATAGAGTCCCTGCCATCAGTCCAAGTTCAGGAAGTGCTGGGCCATGGAGGTGCCCTGGAGCAGGGAGACATGACCCCTGCCTTTTTGAAGCTTATCATGAGGTGCAGGGAACAGCTCTCAGTCAGGCACAGCATAATAAATGCACCATGTTGTTTGGTCTGGAAGGAGCATGCAGGGACCCCAAGAGCATCCACTGGCCCAGCCTGGCCCAGCCAAGGGTGGCCTTGGGCTGGTGGGTGGTGGTTACCAGGTGAAGGGAGAGAGCTTTCCCGACACAGGCGCAGCACCAGGCCCCACACCCCACAGTGCAGGGCCTCGAGCACATGGGAGATCACCAGTTAGAGGAAGGCAATGGGGTAGGGGGAGGCAGCAGGCTGCAAACAGTCACAGGAGTCCAGGGCAGAAGGAAACAGCACAGGCAGCAAGTTCTGGAAGTAGAGGAGGACAGGATTGATGCTGGTAGGGGAATTTGAGGGGGTCCTGTGGGGCTGCGTGGAATCTGGATGC